CATACTATTATTTTCTTCACGCTTTGAAGGAAACTCATTGGTTTGGATCGTACTGATCAGAAATTTATAAAATCTGAGGAGGAAAATGCTAAAAACACAAACAGCACTTGGAAGATGTTGAAGGCAGAGGTTTAATCTCTTAGGAAAACTCCACAGACGGTGTAAAGAGCTGAAGCTGTGGAATAAATAAACAGCAGTCGTTAGTGACTGAACAGAGCTGTCTCGGGCTGGTTTGGCTGGGGCCTCCCCTCTTCGGCCACCAGCATCAGCATGAACTTTAGAAACGGATATTCTGAAAGTAAATCTTGCCCGTTTAGTGAGCACTGTCCATTCAGCTAACCTTGATGTCATTGAGTCCAGGAAGGTGAGCCTGGATGATGGTTTTCAGAACATCATTCTGAAAACATGTTTCCTTCCAGTGAGGGCCTCGGGGTGCCATTGATAAGAAACCTACACCACCTGCCGACCTCTGCATCACCCTGTTCTCACAAGTTCACACTGCGCTCTCCCTAACCCAGGGCAGCCTCCCCAGGACCTGCAGTGTTTTCAGTAGGACAATGTCAGGTTTCAGAACAGGAGGTGATTCTCCACAGAGGGCGATGGAGTAGGCAAGACAGCTAGTGATTCCAGTGGAGGGGGTATGGGGGGGGGAGTGAGTGAACATGATCTATCCTCAAATAATGAAATATATTAAGTAATTACTGTAGTTTCATTCTGGAATATGGGAAATGTGAAGTAGTTTGGGAGGTAATGGGTAAGATGTAAAGTCAGCAGGAAAGATGTGTCCTGTCTGTCCCTGAGCAGTGATCTGAGAAGACAAACTGGTGTCTTACTGACAGTATTTTCAAGACTCCATTGCTTTTAAGAAGTTGTACATTGTTTTCAATTAAATTGATGAACTTTATTGGGGTTAAAACTATAACAAAGTTCATCCTAAAAGATTTTGCAATGCAAAATTCTTTTTACTTAGTGAGTATTTAATATTTGAATGCTAGAAATTATA